AATGGAAATTTCATTTTGCAGAAAAAATGTGTCACATTTTGTGTGCCCACAGGAAAAGAGAGTTGAAAAGATAATAAACCACACTGTACAACTCACATGCATGTACTTGTCAAGATAATTCATGATGCTAAAGCATAATGTTAAAAATTAAAGTAAGACCCACAAGCATATTGTTCCCCACAAGGAAGACAACATGTAGTAAAGAGCACTTTAAGCTAGAATGTCTGAATTACAGACCCAGTAAATATTTAGGATATTTTACACTCTTTAAAAAGTAAGATGTCCCCATAATTAAGGCAAAGTGATTTCCTTACCTAAATAATGTCCTTACTTCTCCACTTGTTTTTCCTAGGATATCAACAATAATATTTCGCAATAAATACTTATTCGTAATTTAATATAAGTAAATATTAAGAATAGAAATAAATATTACTCTTAAAATTCAAAGAACCTAGAGATCTAAGATAATCCAATCTACCACACAGTAACACTCTACAACATCTGAGAAATAGTAACACATATGAGAAGTTTTCACACCACCACAAACTCATCACTTCACTATATAACTCATTCCCCTATTGAACAGTTCTGGTTGCTTAAAAATGTGCAGCGGAAATCTGCCTCCCTAAAGCATCCTCTAAATCCTGATGATACCTCTAGTTTAGGATCTTTCCAACTTACTCTAAAATCCTTACACAGAATCAGACTCCTCATGGGGACTCAGAGGCCTAAAGGATTTGTATATATATTCTAAAGAAAGGCCTGATTAAAGCAAGACAGGGCTGTCTCCAGAGAAATATCATCTGACCAGCCCCCAGATGTCCTCCCAGACTGTAATACACCATGGGTAGGATCTGGTCCTTTAGCCTATAGGTGCAGAAATTTGATTTTACAAACCCCAAGAATTCAGTGGGCTGAAGAAAGCTGACTTGTGCCCCCAAAATGCATGGAAACTCAGAACCAATCAATTCACTCAAATGAAATATATAAATGTCAAATGGATAAGATATCTAGGTGGTACTGTCAAAGCCAGCTACACAGAAGTCCAACTATTTTAAGACTAAAGAGCAGAGCATCAAAACAAGAGAAATGGGTTAACTGAGTATTTAATAGCATCAGACACTAATAATCTAGTGCAACCATCTTTGCAATCTTTGCAACTGAGCACTCTGGGTTTGCTAGTTCAAGTTGGCTTCTCAGGGCACAGCATCCCAGAGGGCACTTGAATAGATGACACAGCATGACATTCAGATGCTTCTTTTGCCAGACTCTAACCCTTATCCAAAGGGAAACATCCTTTCTTCAGATATAAGGATAATTTTAGTCTAATTTTACAGTCATATTTCTGCTTCAGTTGATAATGTGTTGCTTTGATAGATTAACTCTCTGAACGACATCTTGTTTCCAACTTTTTGGGAAGAAATCAGGGGTAATGATAAACACACGTGTACACACACACCACACTCTGGGCTATATTGATTTAAATATCTGAACTGCTATGCCTGGCTCTGCCCACTTTCTATTCGACTTATCTTACTTGACTTGTGATTAAAGCAAAGTCTTGCTATTCGCCATTTCCTCTGTCTCTTCAGCTTGCTGTGTCTCTTTCCCTGAAAGCACCAGGATAGAAACAATACCTATAGCTGTGCTTTAGAGCAGCCCACTTCTATAGCTATCGATTGGAATGTCGACTAGCAATGGGCATGCAGCCCTATTAGCTCTGCTGCAAGTAACTCAGATTATACCAGAAGTTGTTTCCTAAAGAAGTCAGGATTTCATTCAGAATAAACAATTTGTAAACATTTAAACAGGAAACTGGACAAGGATTTTAAACAAAGACACGAAGAGTTTCTACCATGATCACTCTCTGTCTTAGAAGAAAGAGCACAATCCTTACATTAAATCTCTTTTTAAATGGAGAACAGAGAAGTTGATGCCTAAATCGTCAACCACCACAGAAAACATACAGACTTCCAAAGTATCATTTTTCTATGATTTTTTTTTTTCGGTATGCGGGCCTCTCACTGTTGTGGCTTCTCCCGTTGCGGAGCACAGGCTCCGGACGCGCAGGCCCAGCGGTCATGGCTCACGGGCCCAGCCGCTCCGCGGCATGTGGGATCTTCCCGAACCGGGGCACGAACCCGTGTCCCCTGCATCGGCAGGTGGACTCTCAACTGCTGCGCCACCAGGGAAGCCCCATTTTTCTATGATTTTAAATCATTAAATGCTTTGTTATTGCTTAAATACCTATGCATAAACATCAGGATCACAAATACCCATTATGGTCCATACACATATTTGGTTTGTATATTATATTTCTGTGTTTCTACTCTTCTTAATATACTCAGATCTCATTTCTAAAACGTGTCTATTGCATTACTAGAAGTGGTTATATATTCAGGTTTTCAATCAACTGGTTTACTTGTTTGGATTGACTATAAATTTGTTGACATATATTGACGATTCCTCATTTTCTTGCCCAGGGTTCATTTCTTCTACTCATTTATTTTCAATCTCTCTAACTTTCTTATTTGACAGTATCCTACGAGCAGCATAACAGAGCACTCCAAGTTCATAAGGAATGGTGTAAACTAATTAGCAGATTTCATGATGGAAACTATTCCCCTCCCACAGGATCATCCTGTCTGGATAATGAACTTTGTGAAAATATCCAGCTCTTACTACACTAAGGCAACAGTCTCACTCAAACAATCACCTATTTTGCCCTTGGACTTCAGTTCCTAATTGTGGACATGGTACAGATTCAGAAACAAAAACAGTATGGGGTGAGGGACAGAGTTAAAAATAAAATAGCCTTAAAAAATGGATTTTGAGTTAAGAAAATTCTTGATCTTCTTTTGCAACTGACAGAAGAATAACCCTAATAAGATGTGTTTGAAAAATACTATGACTGAAATCACAGTGTATAAGTGAAATGTAGGGAAGTTACAGAAAATTCCCCTACATGCAGGTGTGCAGAAGCACTGAAGGGTTACTAACGAACACTAAATAGAAGTGTTGAATAGTTTGTTATGGGGAGAAGATCCAGAAATAAGAGTGAAAATCAGTGCTGGTTCATTACATCAGCAGTGAGGCTGGCAAACCCCACAGCTAAAGTCATCTTTCAATAGCAGGTGTGTGGTTTGTCCACTCTGGCTTGTAGCCCCCCAGCCAGGGCACAGAATGATCCCAGTCTTCATGGATCCATGAATGACCACAAGCCCTCTCAAGATGTATCTAAATACTGTGGTCGTTCTGCTTCTCTTTTGGTCACATCTCCCATACTGGAAATTTTACCCCACACTATCCATTTCAGTTTTGGTGTGTTTGCTTACTGCAAGCAGTATTTCTTACCAAAAACACCGTAGTAGCTTGGAAGAATGGAAGAAACCAAAAGAGAAAGTTCTATACATTCTCAGTCTTTTCTATGGAAGCGGTTCTTTTCAGTTTAATAGTAATTATCAAAGTAGAAATATTATAATGCAAACAAAAGATCACCTAAATAGGTAAAAAGACATAGATATAAAACAAATGAATGATTTAAATGCCATCGCCAGCCTCTTCAGCATCCTTATGATAAATCCTTTATGAATTTGGGTATGTCATTTGAAATATTACCCACCATACCGATGTGCATAAATATCCCTACACAAGAAAGCACTTAACATATTTAACAATTTACTTCCAACTTTAATGTTTTTCAGATGACAGCCTAGATCTTAAAATGTATAGATATTTTATAGCCTTGCTTAAACATAAATAATACATTTGTCTAATTCACTAATACCAAAGGTACCTTTTTTTCTCATGATAAATATAGTCACCATCCATGACCGCCAGTAAAAATTATAAGGATGCACTATAATAAAAAAAACTATACCCCTATGTGGAAATGATAGGATATAATCTGTTTCATAAAAATAGTAATTTATTCTCAATCTTCCATCACTGGGAGAACGCATTACTGCTGACCGATTACTGTGGTCTTGAAAAGTATCTTTAGATTGAAGTCAAGAGAGTTATATTTCTCATGCGTTTAGGGAAGAATTTTAAAGTATATCAGGTCTCAGATTATAGAAGAAACTCAAAAAAGGCAAAACTTTGTGTTATAAAATGAACATATAAAGAATCCAAAGACTGCTTAGAGATGGCATTACAAATGAGAAGCAAATGTATTTAGACTAACAGAGGTCAGAAAAAAATTTAGTATCTTTACAGAAACATGAGAAAACAAAACTTGTTAATGACAGAAGAAAGGGTTCATTTTAGAACACAAGCTTTTTTCTTTACCATAAGTTTAAGTTTCACATGACATTGTTAAATAGGTCAAATATTATGAATTAGAATACACTCATAGCATTCAGTATGTACTGTGTTAGTATCTACATAAGTGATTCTGAAATAACATTTGCTCTTTCAGTAGCATTATTTAGGCAATAACAAAATGTATGGGTACTAGGAAAATTCATGTTCACAGTAGATGAATAAAGCCTGAAAGAATACATCTGTTGAAATTTGCATTTGGTTTTGGAAAACTTCTGTTTAACAATTGAACACGGGCATATTTTTTTTTTAAGCTCTCACATGGAGAGAGTATCAACGTATTAAAGCAATTTACTTTTAGGGACATTATGCTGGGCTTTGAAATTCAAAAAATAGGATTTTCTTCTTGAATTATTTTATGGTCAATGTACAGTGTCTACACAAGGAAAATTAAAGCTGTCTGACAACTCATAGAAACATCACTGGTTCTTAAAGATGTAAGAAATTACATAAAAGCATGAAAAGTACTGGGTAATTTTGCAGTTTCATCTCTAAACACAATTGTAAAGACATCTGTCTTTCAATTCTTTCTCCCTCTTTCTTCTGAAGCATGGCCTTTTAATTCTTGCCCTTTTAAATATTTTTGCCTACTGTAGCTTTGCTTCTTAATGTACTGGTTGATCTTACCAGGCTAAGAAAGTATTTACAGGGGATGTTGCTTTTATCTGTATTCACAGAGAATGCTAACAAATTAGAAGAAAGCGCCAGAGAACACCACATACCTTGCCCAGAACATTACAATGGCTTCTGCATGCACGGCAAGTGTGAACATTCTATCAATATGCAGGAGCCATCTTGCAGGTAATGTTTTCACCCTTTAACTTTTAAATGTATAAAGTAAAAATACAGAAACTAAATTCTGGATGTTTACAGAGAATTGGATGGCATTCTGCCTGAATGGGCGATCAGCAGCCATACCTTTCTCTCCCTCTCCTACACACACACACGCACACGCACACGCACACACACGCACGAACGCACGCACGCACACACACACACACGCACAAACTAGAAAACTACAAAATGTGTGCACATACCCAAGTACTATGTAACACATCATTATATACACTCTTCTGGTGGAATTTTAAATTGTACCTTGGGCATTACAAGTTCCTTAAAGACACAGCCTCCTCTGGTTTATTCATCACTCTTTCCCATGGACACAGAGCAGTGCCTGGCACAGATCAGGTACTTGATAAATATTTCTCAAACAAATGAAATGAGGCCTAAAGATAACACGGTTGCTTTTGGGAGGCTGTCTTTTCCAGAGTCCTCCGGGTCTTCTAATAAATATCATCAATCTTGGTTTTGCTAGGATCCACTATCCACAAGGCCTGTGGAGTGAGATATTAGCTATACCTCCACAGATTCAGACTCAGTTGAGACACAAAGAAATTGCCTGTCTGGATTTAGTTAATAAATACAAATATCTGCTGAATACGCATGGATAGAACATAATTATTTCAGAGACGATAAAGCCAAAGTGAAAAAGACCAACGTATTTTTTATTAAAGGAATATACAAGTGGCAAATGATGAAATAGGTTGCACATTGCTGCTATACAGTGAAAGGAGTTTCTCTCTCTTGTTCTCTTCCTTCTCTCCCCTCCCTTCTCCCCTCCCCTCTCCTTTCCTCTCCCCCTCTTCTTTTTTCTTCATCTTCTCCTTCTTCTTTCCTCCTTTCCCTTTCTCTGTTTCTCAAGAGCTGCCTTCCTTTCATGTTTTCCTTCATTGAATACACTAGCACTTGCCTTCCAGTAGAGCAGCCAGGCACAGTGAGAAGTTGCACCTGCTGCCCTGTCATCCCCAGCAGGGTCGTCATTATTAAAGCCCTCTGATGCAGAGAGGAAAGATCCCAGGATGTAACTATGAGAAATTCAAAGTGAAGTACTAAAATAGTTCCACAAAGTCAACGACAAGTTGATCCCCACTAGTATTGTTTTCATGTGAGCTGTTTCCTCGTTTCATGCAGATCGTCTACCTGAGCTTTCTGATGAGGGCTGAGTGAGGGCGAGGCAGCCTTCATTCTCAGATGAATAGCGCATGGGCTTGTTTTGCTGAACCAACCATATTGCCTACATCATAATTACTTTTTTCCTACTGAAATTTAATTCTCTAACATAAGCAGACAACTTTATGACCAGTAAATTAAAGAAATCACTCTTGTTGTACCTCTGGCCCTAACACTTTTTAACACTTATTCTAACAGTAGCATAGAGAATGCTTTATCCAAAAATAGATAAGTAGTACTATTTTTTATACTCATGTCATCAGAAACAAGCCTTTTCTCAAGCAGTTATGTTGACTTAGGTTAATTAAAGAGCAAGTTAAATAAAATGTAAAGCTCACCTGAAAAAATATATATAGAAAGAATAATTATTCCTGGGCTTCTCTCGTCTCTCTATATTATCACCACAAATTATCTACCAACTCTCCTATCTTCAAACTCATATCATAAAGTATAAAAAGAAACTGCATTATCTTTGAAATAAAAAACACAAAGAGATCTTATTGAAAACAAGTATTTGAAAGACACATCTACAAAGTACTATTTTTTTTAAGAGCAGGAAAGGGAAACGAAAGGTCCTAATTCCACAGTGAAGATAAATAGCTATAGGCCAACTATAAAAATGAGTCCAGCAACTACAGGTAACTGGACACTATTTCTTCCAGGTGTGATGCTGGTTATACTGGACAACACTGTGAAAAAAAGGACTACAGTGTACTATACGTTGTTCCCGGCCCTGTCCGATTTCAGTACGTCTTAATCGCAGCTGTGATTGGAACGATTCAGATTGCCGTCATCTGTGTGGTGGTCCTCTGCATCACCAGGTCAGTAACTGTACTCAGTGGCCACCTACATGAAGGGATATGTCATTCCTCCTTGTCTTAGAGCTCTCTAATTACAAGTCCCTTCATGGACTCTGCAGCCATCCATTCTCTGGAGTCCTACTTCCTCATCATAACAACATTGGAATGGCCAAATGGAAAGACATTGACTTTCGTGCTGGAGTGGTACAAATTTTTTTCCTTATTTTGCATTATGATGAGGATTATTTATTTTCTAAGGAAAGGTCTTTTTTCCCCTTCTAATGTGTAATACCAATCTTTGTTTAAATATGCTTTTCTCTTTTAGCTATAAAAAGTCAGTCTTCATTCAGACTACTAACAGACTATTTAAATGAGCAGTGTTTCCTGACTTACTCGGATTACTATGCCAAATGAGATCATAGAATAGATTTTATACAAGGCCTAGAAAAGTATTAAATTATAGCTCTCATTTAGGGCACTTATATTTCCAAGTATAACTCTCAGGTATAATCATTTTTAACATATTTGATATAAACCACAAATACATTTTTATCTTAAGTTAACAAAATAATTTTTAATCACAAAATTCAAAGAAAATAGTTATAATGAGAATGATTATGTTGTAGTACATGAAAACCTTTGATATATGGAAACACGCAGCAAATTTCACAACAAGCTTTCATATCAAACCCCCAAACAATCAGACAGTAATTGTTTCCTGGAGAGTTAGGTTGAGAGAAATACAGAGATCTCATCCAGTTTCAACAGGAAAGAAAACCATGAATAATTAGTAATGTCTGGCATCGGGCTTGGAGTAAAGGAGGGAGGCCAGGTATGGCTTACTTTCATTAGCGTGTAAATTCATGGTAACCAAGAATTAGATTGCAAACCGAATGCATATTATTTATGTCCTGTCTAACCAGAAATGTTACTGAAGATTCTTTGTTCTGATTTCACTCCGCTTGAGATAAAAGTTCCCAGGAAGTTTTTCAAGGTTTTTGTCAAATTCACAAGGCATTTGGACTTTCAATCATTTGTGCAGCTCTACAGTAAATCAGAATGTTTCCCCCAAAATTATTTTAAGACAAGAAAATAAAAGTATCATATCTTTAGAAAATAAAGGCCATAATACATCGCTATATCTGTATTGTTCTATCTTCTTTGAGGACAAGTGTGGCATTTGCTCTTGAAAAAGACAAAATATGGTTCATAGATCCTTCCCTGGCCTAACGGCTTAAGGGAACATCATCGACGGGAGCTCTGTGCTACTCGAAACCAAGTTGAGTTCATCAACTCTACTCTTATGTTTAGATGCCAAGTGAGTCAGTGGATTACATTAAAATTGATTCTGGGGAGCATAAAAATAACTCAAGAAACCAAAAATATTAAGTATAAAAGAAAAGATAAAAAAGAATCTAAAACACAGGAAGCTATGCCCCATTACTCCAGGGGTCTTGAGCCTACTAATATCTAAGTAATATCAGCATGTGAAAAATGAAATTCATATTTAATAGATATAAAATCATAACAATTTGATTTGCTACTTCATGTACTGACAAAAATGCAGAACTTTAAATACTTCAGCAGATGTTTAGAAGTCTTATTAATCAACTTCATTCCCATATGTAATAAAAACAACTGGAATACATAGGGTCCTTATCTCCCCAGGAATTGTGTCTGTGTGTGTGTGTGTGTGTGTGTGTGTGTATGTATGTATGTATATCTGTACAGACACACACCAATACATATATATATACATTTGGTAACATTATGAAGGAACAATTATCCCCATTTTCAAGATAGGGACTCTGAGGTACGAGAAGTCAGCAAATTGCTGAGTATACACAGCTGAGCAATAAGGGCAAAAATGGAATCTAGGCTGCCTAGTATCAGAGCCTGTACACTTAACCACCAGTCATACTGCCCCTTGGCTGGTCAAGATGTCTATTTTCTGATGCTCAAGACAACCTAACTGAGCTCCAAATTAGGCAAGCCATTTTTTTAAGACATACGGCTGTTTTCATTTTCCATGTAAAAACAAAACAAAACCTATCTTCTATTTACTTTTGAGGAGGAGAAATAGCACATGAACTAAACTGGCATTATTGTAATGCATTTTATAAAACTCTCCTAGGCAATCCAAGCTTTCCAAAATCCAAGAGTCATACTAGTCAATAAACTACACTATTCTCAGTATGGATTCATTTCATTCACTTGAAAACATTCTGCTCAAAAACCAGACTTTGCAGCTAGGCCATCCTCCCCTCTAACCCTTCCTGCCCAAACCCTCTCTTCCTGGTGACCTGGCCACACTCGTCCATCAAGACTTGTTCCAAAACATCTAGTTGCTAAAAGATTTACAAAATTACATGAAACAGAGATCCCCTCAATTCTCTTCAATTTTCTTTTAATCTCATTGTCACCTGGTCTCTCCTCTTTTCTACCTCTTTTCTTTCTCTTCTCCTCTCCCCACTTTCTTTTCCTAGTTCTTTCCCCTTGTTTTTACTACTTTAGTCAAATATCTGTCCTTCTCCTAAATAAACATGTGTCATAAAGAATACAGACATCTAGAGACATGTTCTGAAATGAAAAGAGTTGCCCTGCTGAGAAGATGTATTTTCAGTCTTCCATCTCCAGCTCTCACTTGCTGGGAATATGACTTCCAGCTCCATGTTCATTTTGACAGATCTACCCCCAAAAAACCCATATATGTATATACTATATACATTTACTCACATATGAACATATATATGAATATATATTTTCCGACACCCCCCAGCTTATTATAATAGGATTTTATATGAACTTTATATTGTTAATTTTATTTGTATTGTCAAAGCATTATTTTATTATAAGAGAAAAGCTACTAGATCAGAGCTTTCCAGATAATTTGACTGAGTCTTAGCTTTCTATAGACGCTAAATAATTGGTACCAATTTATGTCTCTAGCTTATAACATTAATATACAAAATGATATTAGGCTGAACCAAAACAATATCCCTTTTCATTACATATCCCATATTAACAGTTGGCTCACTCTCTGGTTTGATAGGATTTAAACTTGTAGCCCTGAAATGTCAATATAACATTCATCCTTGGGACATTTAAAGTATCAAGTTGTTGAAGACCTTTAACATGAGATTAGATGAGCTCACACTTGCTCTATTGCATTGTGCTGAGTCACTGTTTGAGCCCTGACGAGTAAGCTGTTGAGGACTAGGTAAATGTATTCCTCTTCAACTTCCACCTCTGTTCTTCAGTTCTCCTCAACAGATGCTTAAAGACAACCGCAAACAGAAGCAAAAACAAAACCTCTTCCAACATAATTCCAGCTTCTGCTAATAATAAATTCTTTCATCTGAAATATTTTAATAATTTGCTTAATCCATAACTTCACTCTGTGATTGTGGGACCAGATTTTAGGTAATAGCACTGGACTAAGATCTGTAAACTTTCCAACCTTCTAGGAAATGCCCCAGAAGCAACAGAATTCACAGACAGAAGCAAAATACAGGGCACTACAGTTCAGACAACACAACAAGAGCGTCCACGAGGTTAATCTAAAGGGAGCATGTTGCACAGTGGCCGGACTACCGAGAGCTTGGACTACACAATACAGTATTATAGACAAAAGAATAAGATGAGATCTACACATGTTGCCTTGCATTTGTGGTAATCTACACCAATGAAAACATGTACTACAGCTATATTTGATTATGTATGGATATATTTGAAATAGTATACATTGTCTTGATGTTTTTTCTGTAATGTAAATAAACTATTTATATCACACAATATAGTTTTTTCTTTCCCATGTATTTGTTATATATAATAAATACTCAGTGATGAGAAAAAAATTGGCGTTCTTAAATTTGCGGTATTCCTAACTGTAAATATAATCAAGCTAGTACAATCTGTACAAGTACCAGTATTTTATCTTTCTCCACATCCTGAGACAGAGCACTAGTTTATACAGGACTCAGTGGCTAGGTTTTGAGTGATTCCAAGATCAAGGGAAACGATGGTTATTGGAAAAGAGAAAAAATAGTTTATATCGAGTGAGGAAAAAATATTTCAGATCTTTGAATCATCTCTATTTTATCAGCTTTCTTCCCTGGTCTTCCATTTTCATCCCCAGAGCAGAAAAATCTCTGGCATATAAATTAAATCAAAGAAGAAGGGGAGGGAAAGTGCTTTATAACTCATAAAGGAGAGGGAAAGAAGATATTGGATTTTATTTGGGAAACATCTTAGAATCTCCCAGTTAAGTGCATATATCTGAAAGGTCCTGAACAAGCTACATATTAGGAATACACAGAGCACAAAATCTATTCCATTTAGGTGAGTGGAATTAACAACTAGGAAGAAATTCTAATAGCATCATTAAATGGGTAACACCAAATCATGAATTCTCAGAAGCACCTTGCTATATTTACAGTATATGGTTCTTTAAAAAGAAATTAGAATCACAAACAAATACCTCATGAATAACTTCATGGCTAATGCAGCACCATTATTTGAAATGGAACCAAGGTGATAATATTTCATGAAATGTGCTTTATATATATGATAAGAACGAAAATGAATCACATAGCATATGAAAGACCTTGGTGGGAAATCGATATAGATTTCTGAACACACAAATATGCATGAACACTTTGGAAAAAAATAAACTGTAAAAATTCTCAAAGAATAAGATGAAAGTAACAAATCAAATAATTGCCTTATTATCATTTAGTCCTTCATAGCTTTCTGTGGCTAACAGAGTAAATCTAAATAAAAGTTTCTTTGTCTCCTTCAAATGTCCTCTGCACGTACTGAAAGGAATGACACTTCTGTGTCCACAAAAAGAAAAAAGGACAAATGTCAAACCAACACTTTCTGAATATAAAATATTCAGTGAAAAATAAGTTTACTGAAGTGATGTTTAAGATATTTGTTAAGACACTTTTTAAAAGGTGACAATCTAAATAGTATTTAGGGCTCTGTGAAAAATCTGGTTTCCTAGGTTAGTCATCACTTTGAAAAGTGTGAATCTATAAGCATAACCGTCACTCAAGTGTTTCCATAAATTGGTCGTAGGCTACTTGTACAAACAAACTCTATTTAAACTTCCACATGGAACTTTAGTTTGGTTACCAGGTGCAGAGATGTAACTAGCCCTGATCTCCTCTGTGTAAGACAGGAGTCGTGGCAAACAAACCTTGCCTTCTCCTAAAGGAAGAACAAAAATACAACATGGCAGGGCTTAGTAGAGTTAGAAAGCAAGCAACAATTCCACTGACTTTTACTTGTAAGAGTAGGAAATGACTTGCTTCATTAAATATTGATACAGTACGCTGTGTGAATTTTTGTCAAAGGATCATAAACCTAAGTGTTGGAAAAGTCCTTGGAGTTAATAATACAGTATGTTCCTATTCACCTCTATGCTCACCCAACCCATGAAAGAATCCCTTTTAAAAGATGCATAACAAATCTTTGCTGTACAGTAGAAACTAACACAACATTGTAAAGCAACTATAGTCCAATAAAAATTTTTTTTAAAAAGATGCATAACAAATCTAAGTGAGTAGATACTATGTGCCAGCCACTATTCAAGGTCCTAGGGAAACACAACTAAAACATGACCTCTACTCTAAAGGAACTCACAATCTTGTCCTAACATAATCATCCACCCTCTACTTGCATATATCTATCATTTGGAATTTTATTCTTCGTCAATTCTAATTTTGAGAACATTTTTTTTTTCATATTGAGTTGAAATTTACTTCTCTATGGTTTCTACCCATGGCTTCTATTTTTCCTCTCTGGAGCAAAGGAATAATGACTTACGTGTCTAAAAATATTAGGACAGATACTATGTTCTCCCACTCACTTGTGCAAGCATTTTCTCACCCTTTGCAAGTATTTTCTTCTCCAGGTGAAATATCCTTAATGTCTTCATCTGATATTCATGTGATATGGTTTCCACTTTCCCCTAACATCTGCATCATCCTTCCTTGGACAGACTCTACTTTGTCACTATATATCTTTAAGTGTAGAGCTCATAATTGCACCATCTGCTACAGTTGTGGTCTGACAAGCACAGAATATCGTAGAACTTGTAGAAAGCAAATTTAACTGACAGCCATGATCTCTAAATTCAAGTCCTACTTTGACCACAAATTTGGCGTGGAACCATGAGCAAGTCATCTCATATCTCAGGTCTCAATTTCCTCATCACTTCTAATCTCTGTAATTCCAAGATTCTAGATATTCAGAAATCAGGCACTATACTTTTATTATTACTACCTAAGACCACATTAGCTATTTTTGCTGCTCAACTTAAATTCAAAAGTCTTTTTAAATAAACTGCTATTAAGTCATGTCATTCACTCATTCATTCATTCATCACTCATTCATTCATTATCCATTTATTATACATTATACATGTACTGAGGGCCACCAACTACCAGCACCATACTAAGCTATGAGAAGACAAGGATAAATAAGGCAGAGTCCCTGCCTGAAAGGGATGAGATCATCCTGGTTCCTTGCATCAAAATCTCACAGCCCCATTGGCAAGACTGGGAAGTAAATAGTAAATTATAAAGAATGTAACAAAGGCTGCGGTAACGTTCGGTTCAGAGTGCTTGGGGACCCTCCAGGAGGAATCTCCGGGCTGAGTAACGTGCTTCTTCATAGGATGTGAGACACACAGGATGACTTCATCATTGTCCACACAAACCCTGACCTCTTGCTTCTGAGATTTTATCTACTTCTCCTACTCTCTTCATGCCCTTCTTCTCTCCATAATACACAGAGCAAGTAATAGCTTATCAGTGAGGCCTCCTTGACCCCCTTGGCTGTCTTCCTAATCCTGTTATGGTACTTTGCATGTTATTCCTTAATTGTCCATGCAAGTCTGTCTTTCCCTTAGTCTGGGAGCAAGAAAGCAGAAAATCAGTGCCTTGCTAACTGATTCCATGTATTCAATAAACAATTACTGGGTGCCTAGGCCATACCAGACACAATTCTCGGTGCTGTTATGTAGCAATGAAGTGGAGAGATCTCTACTCTCAGGCTCACATCCTAGCAAAAGAAGTGGAGGTGAGGATTAACCAAACAATAGACAATAACAACAAAAACTAGAAAGTTTTAAGCTCTATTCAAAAAATTAAAAATAGAATGAGGTGATTCAGGGTGACTGGGTTTGGTGGGGACTGGGTCCCTCCAAGGAGAGTGTAGTACTTAAAACTTGGCCTCTGAAGCCAGACAGAAATGGGTCCCAGTCTAAGCTCCACTTGACTAAACTACTTAACCTTGGGCAAACTGCCTAATTTCTTTATGCCTCGTATTTAAAAATCAAGAGAAAAATGCTTCCCACACTCAATCTGACTGTTACGAGAGAGAAGCAAGACAATCCATGTTCTGCTTAGAACAAGGACACGCACAGAGTGAACTTTTCATATGTGGAAATTATTTTTTAGGAATACAATAAATATTCACTGTAAAAGTAATTAAGAAGAAGAAACGATATGTCATCAGTTAAATAAAGCATAACGGGAGTCATATGGTAAGAGTTAGAAGGAATCAAGCAGTCATGCTCACTCGAAGGAGCGTTTCCTGTCTCTTCGGGGACAAGAGAGCTGTTTCCGGGAAAATAAGACAATATAAGTTAAGAAAAAATACCGCTCCTATTATTTCTTTTTTCAAATGGGTCCACTGGCATCGTGTCTGAACAAGGAGAGTGATCATTCTTTCATCTTAAAAGAGGTGTATCCCGATAAAGCACACAGCGTTAAACCTCTCGTGTGTTTCCAGGCACGAGATGAGTGAGTCAATATTGCAGTGACTTTGCAAGGCCAAACGCTTTACTTTCATGAATCCTTGAGGAAAAGTCAGTACAGCCTATTGAAATATGACAGAGATTATCTCAAAGTCACGTTAGACTCTACTAATGTTTATCTTCAGATGCTACTTCCCTTTTCCAAAGTCACGCAGCACCTGCACCAGCTCTCTGTTCCTCAGTTACAGCAGACATTTCACTTACATAATTGATCATCTGGATATCAATCACAAAAACCTTTTCATTGAATTAACTGATACCTTTATATGAGCATCCATATTACATGAAGGATGAAGGATTCTATAAGGTAATGGTATTGGTTTTTATAACTAATGCCTGAATATGCACGTGAGTAAGGCCCTTTAAAATCAACATCAGGAAGGCAGGGATGATGTGCAGCTCACCTGGTCAGAGTCAGGCCTCCTTCCTGCCCCCCTCCGGACAAAAATCGACTTTACTAGTCCCCTTACTTTGGGAATGTAACCAAATTCAATCCAGCACAAGAACCTCATTCAGAGTTAATGAGAGTCCAAAATCAGGGATTATGGGAGAGAGGGGGAGAGAGGACAGGAGCATTCCTGGTCCTCTATCCCTAGTGGTCCCATTGCCATTGCTGTACCTGCCAGTCTTCCTGATCCAACAGAGGCACACCCTCTATACAAGGCTTAGCCGTAGTGGCCTCTGGAGGCAGCGGCTCTCAGGACCCATCCTGTCAAGCAGTCAACCCATTCTGCAGGGCACACTTGCAGAGGGGTCTGTGCCCTCCCTCCCTGTGGGTGTCTCCGCTTGTCGGGCTTCCTCCCCTTTGAAGACTCCATCCTCTGTTAAAGCCCTCCTCTGCCACAACCCATGGACTTAGTCCTTGAAAACAAAGGCCTTTTTATGAGCCAGGCTATGAAAACAAAGCAGAGAGTAATGACCCAAATTGTCACCACAGTACAACAAATGATTAATAAATATATAACATGAATGACACTTGGTTAACTAGCAAAATTAGAAAATATAGGTAAGTCAAACACATAAATTAATCCCACCAACAAAAGATAAACACCATGGTGTTTATGTATGTCATTTCAGATAATTTCTGTGAGTATAGGTTGAGGTTTTTATAAGAGGATAAAATATTTTTTAATAAACTGAATGCTCACTGAAGAATAAGCTACAGAGTTTCACAGGCATTTAAGCACGATTTATCAAACTACACATATATATGGTATGGTTCTTAAGTAAGTTTCAACCCCTCTCAGTTGAGAATCAGTGAGGCCTTTGAAAAGTTTAGATGAGGATCTCTAAGCCATCCGTTCACACATTTATCTTTCTTTCCCCCCAGAACACTAATTTCCCACCATCTCCCAAACTACTTACCCTTCCAGTCTCAGTGCTCTCATACTACTGGCAAGCCATTCTCAGTCTCGTAGTCTGCAACTGTCCAAAGTTTACCCATAAAGCCTCATCGACACAGCTTCTCCTTAATTGTCCCTGTGCCTAACTTGGATCTACTTAGATCTAGAGAGGCTAGAGAAGCTTTACCCTCCACTCACCATGAGGAGGTTTTGATTCTCTTTTCACTCTGTGGAAGCCTCTCTCTGATTCCTAGTCCAGAGAAGGGTTTGACCATTTCACCCTCATTTAGCTTCAAGGTGCCCATGCCAAAGCTGCCATTCCTACAACAGTTCACATTTCAGTTAAACTCAGCTCATGAGGGTGCTAACCTCTGAGCTGAGCTGTTTCCCAAACGGGGCTGTTCTTCCCTGCCTTGTATGTTGTGAGTAAAACGCTGCTCCCTGGCATTAATTGAGGCAATACATTTGGTTCAGAACCAGCAGTTAGTATAAGTAGTATAACATTAAATAACAATAATTAAGATATGTACTTATTATTACTTTTATTTATCAAAAAATAGATACCCTGGGGGCTTCCCTGGTGGCGCAGTGGTTGAGAGTCCACCTGCCGATGCAGGGGACGTGGGTTCGT